TCATTTCTGATGTTTAAGCAAACAAGTACTGCAAATAACAGTCTTGCTTGGATTAATGCTCACACACGCGCACACACTGCATGGATGTTTTTGTGCTTTAACTTACAGTGTCTCCCTGTAGCCTGAAGGAATCCAGGAAGTGTATTCAATGACACTACTACTGTCTCAGAAAGCTTCACCTTGCCCTTTTCCGGATTCCGACACCACTGTTCATTTTGGAGTTGACGAGTTCGATGTTGGGCAGAAATTTTAATGGAACAGAAAAACAATGTAGGTGTTGTTTCAGTGCTGCCAGACCAATGTGAAATTATCCATGGACTAATGCATGATCAGACCAGAGGCACTTGTGTTTAAGTGGATGCAGCCTGTGGTACTGTAGGCTGTAGCCATGGAGACAGCAGCTTTAACCCTGTGTTATGAAGTGGCCAAGGATATACAATTAGGCAAGTGTTTTAAGTATTCATTACCCAGATGGATTTAAATATTTCAGGTGGCATTAAACCACTTCATATATCTATATAATATAGAAAAACATTAACACTGTGGATCTCTGAGACAGAGAAAGAAAAGAGTCAGTGTATAAATGCAGCAAGAGAGGCAGAGCAACATTTATTGAGTATGTCCAACTGAGTGCTAGCCTAGTTTGATTGTAGACGGAGAGAAATGTTTGCAACAGAGGGGGCTCTGCATAGTCCTCGGGTCTGTGGAGATTTGCTTACAGTGAAGAGATGGTGGAGGTAAGATGACTCAGAGGATTCAGGCTCCGCTGAACGCAGGCTTATGTCTAATAATCAGCAGGGAGGGAATCAGCATGGTCCCTCAGAAAAAGAGACAGGGAGAGTGAGATAGAAAGAGACAGAAAAACAGAGCAGAAGGATTGAAGGCGAGAAAAAAGTACAAGATCTGGTAGGAGTTATGGGAAAGAAAAAAAAGAAAGACATGTCCCTGTGGCCACGTTATTCCTCTCTTGCGATGGCTTTTATGTGTATGAGAAGAATTTTGATAAGATTTTTCTGCTTTACATATTTTCACCCCTATTAGCTCTTAAAGTCATGTGGAATATTGTTCAGAAAATGAATCATTGACCTGTAAAATGGGACTTAGCCAATCCAAACTTTCAAGGTCATCTGACAGTCGTCGCATTAACGCCGCTGTTGTCTTTGTTAAGTTTTTCCTTTTTTTTTTTGGATGACATTGTTAAGGTTGTAGTGGTTTTGCAGGATGCACTTTACAGTCACATTTATCTCAGGGCCAGACTGATAAAACTCACCGCTGATGCTTCAGTGATTTTCGCCAGCTGTTCCAGATTACAAAGTACAGTCATTTATGGCGCTTACTGGCATCATCACCAGCAGAGCATCCTTGTCCATTAACACGGACTAAACAGGCACATTCCCAGAGTTGCCACGTAATTCATCAGCAGTGATCCAAAGCACAGCCAAGTCATGTTACTCTCTCTCCAGTGAAGCAGCATTGGCCTGTTAATATCAGCATTTCATCCATATTGCTGTTGTCAAAGCATAGCCTCAATTTGTGTGTGTGTGTGTGTGTGTGTGTGTGTGTTTGTCTGTTTGAGCCTGCTGGAATGTTTAAGTGTGTGTCGACTGTGGCTCTCTAACCTATTCGGTGGTCATCATACCCCCAAGGTCAAGTTTTTTTTTTTCCTATCAGCGGTGAATTATCTCTACAAGCCACTCCACCAATCCTGGGCCTGAACCGCATGCCCATTTAACGGGTATCTAGTGAGGGGGCATCGCGGTCGAGGTCGACAAACCGCAGCGCAGAGGCGGCTGCAGAGCGTCGCGGCAGCATTTTAGCAGGGACCCAATGAGTGATTACCTCTGAGCTCCAGTCATAATTCAGTGTGACCTCAATCTGCCAGCAACGCTATGGTTTGATGGATCTGCTCACAGTTTGGATGTCAGGTCCTCGGATGTCAAACACAGGCAGATAATTTCAGGGCTATCTGTTGCTTTTACAAAGTAAAACATGCTAGATATGAATGTGACACACGTGTTTGATGCCTTTGCATCACGCTCTTTCTTTTTAATTCGACGGGATGTTGAGTAATTTTTCACTACATAGACATTAGAGTAGATGCTGAAGACAAAACAGTGTCAAAAATGGTTAACCCCCATCATGATGATGCCTGTCGTCTGTCGGTCTATTCATCATCTCTGTATCTTATCAATCAAAGTCAGCACAAATACACGTGCATGCACACACACATGCACTCAGGCACGCACGTACACCTCCCAGTGTGGATAATTAGTGGATTCCCTCAGTGGGTGATGGACCCTGTGCTCTTCTCTCCTCTCTCTCTGACCTTCCCCAGTGAGCTTCCTACCACAGCGGGGCTCATCACACACAGCTCTAATACATATTTATCGGCCTGGTGACAGCCCATGTGCGCTGGATTTATATGTTTCTCCACAAACAATAGTAAAGCCTCAGTCACTCTTCCTTCCTTTCATCAACCAAAGCGGGAAATAAATCTAGAAGTGTCAACCTGGATGCAGCCTCCTCAGCAGTTGGACATGTGTGCGTTTGGGTGCAAACGGACAGGGGACCAAGCCTAGTTGCATTCAAGCTGCTCTCCTCAATTACGGCAAACGGATTTGATATAGGTATGTCTGTCAAATCGCCTTGGCAATCAGAGGAGCTGCTCTGCTGGCAAACGTTTTCCTACAGCAACTTCTGATCAAAGACATTTAGAAAGTGGCTGTGGCATGGCTGGCAGCATTGGGATTCAGGACAGACTCCCTGCACCATGACTGGCTCTGTTTGCACAGCGCAATCTGAGTTGAAATGTGAAGAGAGGCAATACCACTAAAGAGTGAGGGGAGGGGAAGGGAGGGAGGGGGAGGAGGAGAAGGGAGGGATGGCAGGATTAAGCCCCAGCCCCCCTCTCTGCCTCCGAGTGGCCATCTTTCATCTTGCGGCTGCCCCTCTAATGCTTTCAAGTGGGTGAAACCCTCGACATCTGCTTCTGCTCGCTGGGACACGGCACAGGCCATCGTCCTGCAGAGACGCATAACCACAGGACAACTCGAAAGAGCAGCAGCAGGGCAAGGCCGCAGAAAGCTGATGGCTCCATCTACGTAGAATGAGATGCAGAAAAACAAAATAATTTTTAAAATCAGAAATCAAAATTGTTAAATCAAAACCTTATATTCAGACATCTGTTGAAACAGCCACATTCAGACCCCAAATCATTGTTCAAATACACAAATTGTGGCTTAGACTAAACACACTCACCACAGAAACATTTCACAGTTCACTCACCCAGACACATTAATTCTACTTACTACTTGCGAACAAATAAATGTAAATAGCTCTGTAAATAAACACTTCATCTTCGCCAAGAAGAAATAAGCCCCCCGCTGCCTCTGATTAAGACTACCAAAGTGATATATCTGGCACTTAAGTCTGCTGTTTACCTCATAAACACAAAGACTTCAACACAGCCACCCACACTGACGCTGAAATATCACAAACTGAGTCTGCATGCCTGTATATTTCTCTGCAAGTCTTCGTGGCTTAAATGTGGATTCATCTAATGACTTTTTTTGTATGCGTGCCATTTCATGAGCGTTTTATCTGCTGTTGCTTTCAATATCATGAGTTCAGTGATATTCCTTGACTCTGGCAGAGAAACTGCCATGAGCAACAAAGCGGCACGGTCAAGTGGTGGGAGCTTCACCTCTGATTTTCTCTGAGATTGATAAAACAGCACTTGTGATTTTGAAAACCATATCAGGAGGATGAGTGGTGCTGTCCGAGACTGCAAGATGATGTGACGGAGGCCTACCCGAGACAGAGAGGATGTCACGTCACCTTCACTCTTCTGTCTGTAAGGAGACATTTTTCAAAGGGGACGCAATTCAATTATTTCTGAGGAAATTATGTTTGTTATTTGGGATCTGTTCCTTGTGGTGAAAAGTCATTTTAGATTCCCTTCATACTGCACTGCAACCAAAATGTAATTTAATTTGTGCGAGCACCCCATGAGACTGTAGATTTGTTCGCCTTGGTTTCTGAACCCCCTCCACCCCCTCTAAAGCCCACACACACACAAATGCCAAACTCCTATGTAGATTCACATAATAGATGGTCTGTTGACTCTTAGTCTCTATTTCTGTATATTACAAGCAGGAGACCATGGTGTTCGGTTCAGCTTGGTCTTCTTTCATTGTGTGCCACCATGTTGCATTGTATGCTGGGTGAATATGTGCAGCTCCATTTCTTCTGCAAATGTAGGGAGTAGGAGTCTAGTTTTATTTATAGCAATCCACCCACAAACTCCTGTAGAATTTAGTGATCTTTCAGGTAAAAAAAATGACTTTTAACTCACACATGGCATAACTGATGCAGAGGCACTGTGTGAGAGTGTGTAATGACTGCAAAAAGGAGCATCTGTGTCTATAATTGCAGTGTTTGAGGTTCATCCAATGTAAGCTACCTTGAAAAGTACATTACCAGAGGGAGGGCATATGCACAGGGTTCATATATTCAAGAACACTTAAATCTGACTCCTGCATTTCATACAAGCAAAGGAATTCTTGGTATGGTATAGTCCGTTTTAGCATCCTAAATGTATCCTCTATTTTCAAAAAAGCCTATAGAGCCATATTGGTAGTCTCTGCTCCTGACAAACATACAGAGATGATTACCAAAAGAGTATATAGAGATGGATGGAAGAAAAGAAGATGACAGACAGAGTGCTGATTCCCTCCTCTGTCTGTGAGCTGTCTGTGAGACCGGGCCATCTGCACATTCATTATCGCAGCCATGATTCCATTATTGTTCTGTGTGGCAACAAGGACTTGTTCTGTCTGGCCTTTGTTATTCTTATCAGCTATGTAGCTGACAGCCCCCTTTTGGTCATGGCAGAAACAAAATTAAAAATGATCATGTAGTATAGCACATAACTGAATTATCCTCTGTAATAGTGACACACTAAACATCATCCTGTCTCTTCTTCCTGTGTCCTTGTGCAGGTCTGTTCCACAGAGCCATCATTCAGAGCGGGTCAGCTCTCTCCAGCTGGGCGGTAAACTACCAGCCGGTAAAGTATACACGTCTCTTGGCGGAGAAGGTGGGCTGTAATGTCCTAGACACCTTAGACATGGTGGACTGTCTGAGGAAGAAGAGCTCCAGGGAGCTGGTGGAGCAGGACATACAACCAGCGAGGTACCACGTGGCCTTTGGACCTGTAATTGATGGTGATGTCATCCCTGATGACCCCGAGATCCTGATGGAGCAGGGCGAGTTCCTCAACTACGACATCATGCTGGGGGTTAACCAGGGCGAGGGGCTGCGGTTTGTGGAAAACGTGGTGGATTCAGAGGACGGTGTGTCTGGAAATGACTTTGACTTCTCTGTGTCAGACTTTGTGGATAGTCTATATGGGTACCCAGAGGGCAAGGACACCCTGAGGGAGACCATTAAGTTCATGTACACAGACTGGGCAGACAGAGACAATCCAGAGACCAGGCGCAAGACGCTGGTGGCTCTTTTTACTGACCACCAGTGGGTGGAGCCATCAGTGGTGACGGCTGATCTCCATGCTCGCTACGGCTCACCCACCTACTTCTACGCCTTCTACCACCACTGCCAGAGTCTGATGAAGCCAGCCTGGTCAGATGCCGCCCACGGGGACGAGGTGCCCTATGTTTTTGGAATTCCTATGATTGGTCCCACTGACCTTTTCCCCTGTAACTTCTCAAAGAACGATGTCATGCTCAGTGCTGTGGTCATGACCTACTGGACCAACTTTGCCAAGACTGGGTGAGTAAAATGACTCTATCTCGATTATCAGCAGTTATCCCAATTAGGGATGCATATTGTTAAGATTTTATCAACACAAGTGTTACTTATCCGTACTGATACTTATTGTTACTCTTATCAGTACTCCTCCTTAGTATTAATGGGCTTGAAATTTATAACTAGGTGCACCACTGTTTTTTCATTTTTTCATAGCGCGATCATGATACACTGTTGTTCATCTGGAGGAAGAGAAAATTTGTGAATAAGATATGGATCAATGGCTGGTTGTATTACAGAAGCATATTGCATTCACTTGAAAATTAATTAATTGAACAATTGAGTCATTTTTTTTGTCTGTTTTTAGGAGTATTTCTTTCAGTTTTTCAGAGTCATTTTTTTCTGAGTTTAGAGAGCATTTGAAACAATAGAGGCATTCATTCCTTTATATAGAGCTCGATCAGGTTTAAGACACTGGGAGATAGTCCTGTCTTTAAGTCATATAGATAGTATTATCATTGACCCGGTATGGTAGATAGTTGAAGATGGGGCATGTATGTGCGGGCAGGAGTCACCACAGGTCCATGGGAGTCACTTTCAGGTTAGAGGTTCTCGCGGGAGTATCTCGATAATTCAGAAAAAAAATTACTCCGAACAACAGGGGGGAAAAATTACCATGAAAAACAGAAAAAAATTCTCAGAAAAACAGGAAAATATATTTTTTTTTCAAGTGAATGCAATACGCCTCCATATTGTATACTTAACTCGTTGAAGAAGAAAAAAAACAACAAACCATTTTATGTGTTGACTCAGGGACTCAATAAATGCAGGTTGCTACAAAAACACATCAGAAGTAAGGAAACATTTAAAAATGTATGGCATACATTGAAGAGTTGAAAGTTGCATGATTTTAATCATGCTAGCTAAAGTTAACATAGTCTTTAAACATTTTGTTAAAGTTGACAGTGTTAATAATTGTGTGGAACAGATGCAGTGATGATGGAGCTGCAGCCACTTTGGTCAGAAAGTCAAATACTGTGAATATGACATTTCATCCCTGTTACACACAACAGCTATTATACTATACATGATGGTCTCCTCACAGACGCACATCATTTCTAAACAAGACAATGATTATCTGGTCTCTCAGTCAAGGTTTAGTTACAACTCTGTAATGTGAGATGTAAAGCAATCTACTGACATTGACTATTGATTAGATATTGAATTTAAAATGTTGACTAGCAGGGCATAGTGGACAATAGGGTTGCACATCTCTAAGTAAATGGTAACCATCAATTATTCAGTCAAGCCATAGTATAAATAGTATTAGTAGTAGTTTATATTTGAAAATGTATAAAAGGAACTCTGGGATACTTAGTTTGAAGGGCTTGTTGCAGATATTTTGAGACTGACCCAGGGAGGTCAGGACCGGCTCTGATCAGGACAATGTTATGATTTGGACTAATCAGGAACCAGTCAGTACCAATTTAACACCAGTCCTCAGTATCTCTCTCTAATGCCAATTCAGATCAGATATAATTTAACCCTTTATCGGGCGAGGAACCATATATGGTCACTTCATTATGACAGTTTTAATTACACTTCTATGGCATATTTTGGTGGGGTTTTTTTATGAGTGATATACTAATATACACTTCAATGTTACGGCTTTCTTTCACAAATAATTCAAAGTGGGCTTGATCTTGATTTGCTTATGGCTTATTTATTACATATTTTCATAGTATATTGATGTGGCATATTTCTGTCTGCTCAGTCCTTCTATGGGAAGAGGAGGCCTGCTGTGCCACCGATTGTTGTTGTGCCAGCCCACGTAGATATCATTGACTTTGATTTTCAGACTAAAACTGACTTTTTAAAAAAAAATCAAAACAGAAAAAATGTCTTCTTATATCCACCAATAACACTCCAGGGTTGAAATTTTAAATTTCCAAGTATTTCAATGAGTGCCCTATAAAGGGTTAATATCTAATAATAGTAACAACATAACATATTCACACAGTTGAAAAACAGTACTTGCAAATTAGTAAAACCAGCAAAAAAAATTACACATTTCTTATTAATAGAAAATCACAGAGAGAAATCCTATTTTAGTCCTATTAAAAGGACTTGTGTGCTACAGATAAAGGAAAAAAGGAAGCTCTACAATGGATAGTATAGGACAGAAAAGGCATTTTTCAACAAAGACATTTTTTCAGAGGTGTTTTTTGCCTGGACTTCCTGGGTCCCAGTCTGAAAACCTGAGACATATTGAATCTGAGGAAGATTAAATGTTCCTCCAGAGTGTGTGCTGTGCTTTTTGTGCTTGGCTGACTGTTTGGGTAGAGTATGTGTGTATGGCTTGCCTGCCTTTCTGTATACTTCTGTGTTAATGTGTGTGTGTGTGTGTCTGTGTGTCTGTGTGTGTGTGTGTGTGTGTGTGTGTGTGTGTGTGTTTGTGTGTGTTTGGCTGGAAATACTATCTATGCTCTATTATACGGAGGCCCAAAAGACACAGAGACTTATCAGGGAGACATATCAAACTCTTGCCCTCGGCGGTATCGATTCCCTCAGCTTGGACCGAGTCGATCACTCGTGCCCCGGGTGACTCCCTCTCCCCACAATGCTCAATTTCATCCCCACCCATCACTAAGCCTGCCCATTTTGTATGACTACTAGTAATCATTTCTAACAACTGAAATTTAATTTGACAATCCCTGTTACCAGAGAGGTATTGATCCCATCCTGAATGGGATGCAGTCTGAAATCTTGTTCTGTTTTTATCTGTCTCTATATCATCGGCTGTCCAATCAGGTGGCATTTACATCCAGTCGTCTGGCTGATAGGCTGCACCCCAGGCCGCCAGCTCGGCTAGATCCTTGAACTGCTAATGGCAGACTAGTGCAGATGGACTGATGTCGGCCGTTTTGGCTCCTCAAGGAAAGCATTGAGGTCCATCAGTGATGCTCGGACTGAACAGCTGTCTCCTCTGCCTGGCAGACATCTTGTGTCAACACATACAAAGCTGCAATTTGTGGATACAGATGGATTTTCTTGTGCTTTCAAGAATATTATCTGCTGCTATAAGGCGAAAAGGTGTGTTTTATTTTAATGAGGAATGTTTGAGGCCTCAAGGTAAAACTGCACAGTGCTTATGCACTTTCGATGTCAGAGAAATTATTTCTGATAAGATGATGACAGCCTGTCTGTCTTACCTACAACCACTCAGATTCAACACAGTGCCATGGGCAGTAAGCTGGCCCGTAACTCTAACCTGGCCTTCACCCTGGCAAGCAGCAAAAGTTGAAATAACAAATTGCTTCCAACCCCATGTCAGTTTTGTAGATTTCTGCATCACTTATTGATTGAGACTAGGACTAGAGTAAACTGTTCTAGATCCACGCTCGCCATGTTACGGGTAGCATCCACCCTATGGTGTGTCACCTTGGCATAACTCCAGACTTGGGGATTACATGCAGACCACAATTAGTCACTCAGATGGTAAAAAGCCTGGGATTAGATGCCCGGATAATATAAAACTCAGTGTGCTGTTCCAAAGGTTAATTTTACCCAATCCCATGTAAAGGACTCTACCATCAACTTGCGGGGGGGAGGGGGGGGATGTGAGATACTTCCCATAGATTCTCAAGTTCATCCTCCTCATTTAGACCGCCCTAGAGGATATAGATCTCTCCTCCAACACCACCCAACCCAATCTGGCTCTAGAGAACATCCTTTTAATTAAGGCGCAGCTGAATTCTCTTTGCCTTTTTGGCCCATCCAACAGCCGTCTTCCCTATATCTGTAAAGCAGCTCTTGCTCCCCATTCCAGATGTTCGTAATGAACTGACCCAGATTGCACTTCCTGCCCCCTCTCTAAATCAGCTGTAGAAACATGTGTGAGACACTTGGGCTACATGTCAACAGTGTGTATCATAGCAGCGTTCCCCCCCAAAGCTCTTCCTGTCCCTGGCTCTTATGTGTCATCTTTACAGGGCAAATCCCTGCCCATGCACTTTTTTTTCTCCTCCATCAGTGTCAGTGAAGCATAAAAGCATACAGAGAGTGCACGCTGTCAAATCTTCTTAGTGTGTGTGTGCGCATGTGTATGAGTGCGATTGTGAGAGTGTGTGTTTACACTATGAGGCTGTTCTTTCCTGAGAGTTAGGGATGTTTCAGAAGCCGGGGATTTACTCAGCTCAGAGTTATTTTTCTGGCTGCAACACTTGTTTTACTATTGACAGGCAAAATTGTCCTGCGCTTTATTGCCACAACAACGTCTTCCAAGCAGTTTCTCTAAAACTTTTGCAGCAAGTCCACATACTGTGACTTCCACACTTCTCAAACACAAATGCAAACACAGCAACGCGGCAATACACAAAAAACTGGCAGAACCCTTCAGTAAAGACAGAATGATGAAAAGCCTAGAAAAGATCAATCATCATATATCATTAGTGCTATAAATATGTTGGTCCATCTTCCCACTTCTTGTTTTTTTCCTGCTGGCTGGTGCTCATTTCCCCTGTTCTGCGTGTGAACTGTGCCACATGCTGTGCAGGGCCTTGCTAGGTAGTTAAAGAGCAGAGCGCTGTCATGTGTCTTTCCTCATTCTCCTCCACTGCTCCTCCATCCCCCCCTCTCTCATTATTCTATACAAAAAAAGAAAGTCTACTCATGTTTTACATTCACAACATGAGCTAAAATATGCAGTATTGATTGCTTTGTCTTTACTGACAAGGGCTGCCGACCAAACAAATGTAGATAGGAGTAACTACAGTGAGTCTATAGTGCAGTTTAACACTTTGATTTACTGCATTTTTTATTTTTTTGTCTTCCTCCCGCTTGTCAATCGAACGGCTCTCCTCTTTAGGTTTAACAACACGTATACATCAACTGCTTCTCCCGTCTGACCTCATTCATGCACTGCTTCAGCCCTTTTTTCACCCCAGCTGTCTAGTAGTTACATCACTCATCCCTTACCCCCCCGCCTTGTCCTTTCTCCGGATTATCCCCCGTTCCCTTCAGTT